TGGGATTTAACCTTGCGTGGGCAAGAAAGGGAGGGAGGGGGCCAATTCGGGGCCAGACGGGGTGGTAGTAATGTGGAGCAGCTCCCACCCCTCCTGCTGCCCCACGGCACCGCAGGGCCCGGGGGGAACGGGGTGCTTGAAGTGCTGCGGGGCTGTGAATGCCGCGGAGGAGGGGAGACGTGGCGGCATCGGGGCGCTGCCCGTCCGTCCCCGGCAGCCTTTCCTCCGTCCCGCAGGGCCCAAGCAGGAGATGGTGTACGACTTCTGGCGCATGGTGTGGCAGGAGCACTGTTCCAGCATCGTGATGATAACCAAGCTGGTGGAGGTGGGCCGGGTAAGGACCCCATCCTCTTCCTCTCCCTCTGGGCTCTGGCTCTGCCAGGAGCCTCCTCTGCAGAGCTGAAACCCCATCCCGTCCTCTCCTCACAGGTGAAATGCTCCAAATACTGGCCGGATGACTCCGAGATGTACGGGGACATCAAGATCACCCTGGTGAAGTCGGAGACGTTGGCCGAGTACGCCGTCCGCACCTTTGCTCTCGAGAGGGTACGGTCCCGCTGCGCCGGCCGCGACCGCCCGACCCTGCCCTCGCAGGCAGAGAACCGACCGCCTCGGGCATCTCTAACCATCACCAGATTGGCTTTCACGAATACCCTGCTGAGTTACTCCACCACGGGGCTTTCAGCCCTGCTTGAGGTGCAGCCCCTGAGCCCTGGGGATGCTGGCAGCTTCTTGCTTTGCCCTTTCCCTGCCTCTGTGCCTTCCGCCGGGGCGAGCGGCTCAGCCCCGCTTTGGTTTCGGCAGCGAGTGAGTATTTCACTTCTGTGTGAGCACCGTGTAGTTGCAGCAGGGTGAAGGATGCTTCTTCTCCTCCGGGCTGGAGCGTAGGTTACGTGACCATTACTCTCCAGCATGGTACCTGGGGATGGAGCTGGTGCGATTTACCCCTTAATCTGCAGGAATGGGAAGTTACTGTCTACATAAAGGGCAGGTAGCAAAGGTGCTCGTGGACTGAGACACGTGGCTGCTGATACCACCTCCTCTTCCTCCTTGGCTGGCTTTTAACCCTCTTGCAGCCGAGGAGGAGGGAGCTGTGGGGCTGCCGAAGCGGCTGACCGCTGTGTGGTCCGTCTGGCTGGATGCTGAGCTGGCAAAATCATGGATTCCCAAGAAAATCAGGTGTTTGGGTGGCTTGGGCCCTCCCTGTGTGCCCTCACTCCATCTCACCCTTCCCTTGCAGCGGGGCTACTCGGCCCGGCACGAGGTGAAGCAGTTCCACTTCACGTCGTGGCCCGAGCACGGCGTCCCCTACCATGCCACGGGGCTGCTGGCCTTCATCCGCGCCGGGTGAAGGCGTCCACGCCGCCCGACGCCGGCCCCATCGTCATCCACTGCAGGTACGTGCGTGGCCGTGGGGCAGAGCCAGCTGCGGGGGGAGCATCCCCCTCCGGGACGAGGTCTGGGGCTATGGGTGGCCCTGGGAGGGGGCAACATGCTGTGTGTTAGGTGGGTGCTCAGCCTCTGGCTCTGAATGATGTTAAAAGCCCCGAATGATGCTGAAATATTCAGCGGAGAGATATAAAATGTATGAATTGGGTTCACAGCAAGGGAAGGCGCTGGGGCTGACGGCGTGGGGCTGGATGTCCCTCTGCCATGGCATCCAGCCGTGTAACATCACCACCGGGCTGGTGGCAGCAGGGACGGGGGGGCTGCGGCGGGGGCCCGGGGGGG